AAGTGAACAAACGCTTTGGGAAAATGGTGCCAAGAGATTTGTTCAAAGCAGGCTGCCACAAACCTTCAACTATAAAAAATGTAACACCTGCAAAGCGCAATAAAGCACAATAAAACAAAGGTATGCCTTCGTTTGTCCGTGGTGGTGAGGTAACCTGTTTGTTGTTGACAGTGATGCTGATGATACCAGTTCCTCTCTCAGACAGTAGACAAGCTTCTATTTTCAGTGCTCTCCTTGCCTGACTGATCACTGGCATATGACATAATTGATTGCCCTCCCCTTGCAATACTTTCTTGGTTTCCACAACTCCCTACAACCCTTTGGCTGTTACTTTTAATCTTGTCTTTTGGATCCTCCTCATGCTCCCAAACTTGAACATGGCAGTGTCTTGGGACTCAACCCTAGGACTTTCCTCTATTGACCCTCAGCCTTCTGGTAATCTCATACAATTTCATGGCTGTAAATACCACCAGTAACCATCTGATTAGGAGTCCCCTGAACTGCAAATTTATATCCATTATGAAGGCAACTCCAGAATTCCTCCCTATCCCAGTAAGGGATAACTCCAGCTTTTTTGATTGCTCAGGATAAGAACCTTAAAGTCATCGTGGACTTCCCTCTGTTTTGCATCCTATGATGAAATTCTTTTGGATTCACCTTTTCTCCAAGTATAAGCAGTGCCACTTGCATGGCTCGGATTCTTGGCTTTCTGTTTTTTCCACTGGTCTAATTATATCCTGGCAACAATGCCACACCGTCGTATTTATTACTGTTTTATAATAAGTGTTCATTTGGTATATTCTTAGCCTTTGTCCTTCCATATAAATTGTCAGGGAGAAAATAAAAAGACCTAACACTGTTATGGTTCCATTAATGGCCACCCAACTTATATGCTATTATTACTGTGTACACTGTAATTCTACCTTATTTACTTTTATTTTAATGTTTATTTATCTTTCAGAAAGACAGAAAGACAGAGTGCAAGCTGGGGAGGGGCAGACAGAGGGGGACACAGAATCTGAAGCAGGCTCCAGGCTCTGAGCTTTCAGCACAGAGCCTAATGTGGGGCTCGAACTCATGAACCATGAGATCATGACCTGAGCTGAAGGCAGACGCTTAACTGACTGAGCCACCCAGGCACCCCAATTCTACTTTATTTTTAACCCTATGAGACACCGTCATTATTGTTTTCACAGCCAAGGTACGCATAGGCTTTCCCACATATTTACCACTTTGTTCTTCACTTCTTAAAACTATAATTCTCCATATGGGATCACATCTGAAGTATATTCTTAGGATTACCTTTAGTGAAAGATTCAGTTGGTGGCAAACCTCAGTTTTTGTTTCACTATAAATATCTTTATCCTAATACTTCTATATTGTATTTCTCCTGGGTATAGAATTCTGGATTATCAAGTGTTTTCTTTTTAGCACAGGAAGACAGCATGTCAGTATATTCTGACTTCCAACTGCTATGTGAAATCAATGGCTAATTGGACAGTCTCTTCATTGAAGGTAATCTTGATTTCTGAACATATTTGAGATTTTTCTTGTGTCTTATATATTCTATGATTTCATTATGATGAATGTAAATGTAGATTTCTTTTTATTTTTCCTGCTTGAATTTCACTGGGATTCTTCATTTATTTATTTATTTATTTTGGAGAGAGAGAGAGAGAGAGAGAGACAGAGAGACAGAGAGAGAGAGAGAGCGCGCGCGTGCGCACACAAGTGGGGGAGGGGCAGAGAGAGAAGGAGACACAGAATCCAAAGCAGGCTCCAGGCTCGGAGCTGTCAGCACAGAGCCCAATGTGAGGCTCGAACTCACAAACTGTGAGATCAAGACCTGAGCTGAAGTCAGATACTAAACTGACTGAGCCACCCAGGTGCCCCTCACTGGGATTCTTCAATCTCCAAATTGGAATTCTGTTAGCAGAATTAGCCAATTAGGTGACCATCGGTTAGTGTATCTTGTTCATTACTATTCTTGCTCCTTTTGCAGTAGTGCAATTAAATACATGTTAAATTTTCTCAGTCTGTTTCCAAATCTATTAATTTCTCTTTTGAATTCTCAATCTTTTGTCTCCCTATGCTGCATTATGGATAATTTTTTCTAACCTGTGCTGTAGTTCACAAATTATCTCTTCAGCTATGTCTAATTTCTTGTTAATCCCATCCATGGTGTACATACGTAATATTATGTTTATGTACATTTACATACTCCTGTTCATATTCATATCACATATGTTCATTATTAAATATATATTCATATTTATCAATATATATTCATTTCTAGAAGATTATTGGCTGCTTTTCAAATCTTTAGGTCATTTTTAAAATAGTTTCTTATTTTTGGCAGATATTTTCAAACTGGCTGTCTTAACCTGTGACCTTTAGTCTTTTCTGTCTATCCCCACTGGTTCTCTTTCAGAGTGCTTCAGCCTCTTGTGCAATTAATTGTTTTTAACTGTGTTCTCTTTTTGGTCTTGGAAAAATTCTTCTGGGGGATTTTTTGAGGACTGGTGTAAATATGCCTTCCTACAGAGAATCTGTGTTGGCTTCTGCCAGGCACCTGGAAGGGCTGCCTGTCCTCGACCAAGTTTACAGCCCGAGGTTCCCTGGGTCTCTCAAGTGACAAACTATGCTGTAAGTCCACGGTGGGGATCATCCATGACCACTTCTCAGAGACAAGGTTTTGTTCCTCTTTTCTCCCTGTTCTACTTAGAACCAGAGCAGTGTTCTCTACAGTCTCACGAGTCGGGAGGGAGTGGGTTTAGTTCTATTTCACATTTATTCTGAGAGTGTGGTTCCTTGTGGAGTTCCAGTTTAACTTGGTGAGAACTTCCTGTTAGCATCCCCACTTTGAGTGAGCCATATCCTCTGATTTCTATCCTCCTTGCCCCATAAAACCACCAAAACCAAAGCCCAAGTTTGTCTACATGGGAAAATGTCCTCAAAGTAAAAGCAGTATTAATGCCCAGGTATTTGTTTCTTGGTTCTCAGTTTCCCCTAGATGGATCCATATTAGGAATAGCCTGGTATTGGGTGCCTGGCTGGCTCAGTCAGTTAGGCGTCCAACTGGTTCAGGTCATGATCTCATGGTTCACAAGTTCAAGCCCCGCATCGGGCTCTGTGCTGACAGCTCAGGGCCTAGAGTCTGCTTCAGATTCTGTGTCTCAATATCTCTCTGCCCCTCCCCTGCTCACACACTCGCTCTCTCTCTGAAAAAATAAATAAATAAATAAATAAATAAATAAATAAATAAATAAACATTAAAAATTAAAAAACAAAGGAATCGCCTAGTATTCATTACTAACCTATCAGCCCCCCAAGCCTTTAGGAAGAATGAAAAAATACATTCATCCAGAATTTTTTGTTATTTTCAGCAAGATGGGGTGCTACTAATATCTTAACCTACCACTACTAGAGATAGAAGTCTATTTTACTTATCAATTTTCTTATTTATGTATGTATTTGCCATCTGTAAACTCCTTAAAGGAGGGATTACTTTTATTTTCTACTCTATCCCCAGTGCCTAAGAACAGTGTCAAGCACATAGATGGCACCCATTAAATATATTTTAATAGTGTTTTATAAAGATTTTACTTTAAGTAATCTCTGCACCCAACGTGGGGCTCGAACTCACAACCCCAAGATCAAGAGTCGCACACTCCACCAACTGAGCCAGCCAGGTGCCTCCCCCACCTGCCCCGTTAAACATTTCTTGAATGAATGAATAAACTTGGTGATGACAATATGCATATTGTGGGAGGCTCTGAACTGCTAAACTAAACTTTGTATCATTCCTGTGTAACACCCTGCAACTTGCCACATATTCTTGAATAAATTTTATATGCCTTGCTCTTGTTAAGGTAACAGATGCAGACTTCTAAGTCTTGGCGAGGCACCCATCGCCTCTGTACTTCAGAAGATCTGTACATCATCTCTGTACTGCTCTGTGAAATGAGGAGCAGGAATAGATGGTGCCTAGGATCCCTTCTCTTTTTCAATTTCTGAGATTAAGACATGGCTCCTGTCCCCATTGATCACAGGGACCATAATAATGGCAATAATAATCTCAGATCAGGGCCAGAGTTGCCAGAGTCACCAGAAAATAATTATGATTTCAGTCCCAGAATAAGCAATCCCTCCCCAACCCCACAACTAATGCTTAGAAATGCTTAGAAATGCTCTAAGGACCCAACTCTCCTTTGTAAAATGGAAGTTCCAGTCTTGAACACTAGAAGGAATGTACATAGAAAGGGGGGGCAGGTGTCTCAGTGACCTGAGCTGAGCCCTTCTGAGCTTCACCTTCCTGAGGTCTTCTTGCTCCACTCACATCCTGGCTCCCAAGAATGACCAGCTACCACTTTTCTGATCTGACTTGAGCCTGAATCACAGACCTATTCCTGATCTTTGCTGACATAGCTGAGACCATCTGGGTCTTCTGAAAAGGTTCTTCCAAACTCTAAGGGAGAACATAGGGAAGTAAACATGGCAAGGCTGAAGAATCAGGCTCGCGGAGCCAAAGCTGGCTGTCTTCTGTGGTTTCCAGGCTCTGTTCTCTTCCACAAACCATCAGGGAGAGCCAGCCAGCCCACAGCCCCAACAGGCTGCCACAATTCTGCAGCCATCTTACCTGGATTACTTCTTCCAAGGTCTTGGTCTGTCTCAATGCGGAAGGCACCACATCACAACCCACCCCCGGAAGTTCCAATTTCAAATACCTGGGCTCAAGGCTGGGAAGACAGAGCCCCCTTCTGTAGCCACTGAAGGCCACTGACCCCCATCCCAGGTCCAAGGGAATCACCTTTCCCTCTTCAGATGGCGGGTAGTGGCCTCGCTATCAGGTAAGATCTTCCCTGTTTAGACAGGACTGTGGCTTCATCTTTACTAGTCCTCGTTATCCCCACAGCATACTAGAATAACCCACCCATAGCATTTGCTCTACAGGATCTACATGCATAAGTTACAGGCAGGTGTTCCATCAAGGAAATTACCATGAATAAGATGGAGGCGAAGTTCATCAAGTAACCTGGGAAACGATCTTTCCAGGTCAGCTTATCTTCATCATCCTGTGGAAACAGGAGAGTACAATCAGAAGGCACAAACAGATATATCGATTTTCTTTCAAATTTGCACCAATTTGCATATCCTTAATCATTCATTACTCTAGATAGGTGTTTTCCTAGTCTCTGGTAGCCACAACAGCCCTCCTAATTCTGTGATCTCTACATAGCCTGGAAAAACCAAGGCGAAATGAGGACAAGATTTGATCCTTGCCTCAAACTGAGCTGACATTTTAGCTATCAGCTGTGTGATCTCAGACACAATTCTTGACGTTTCTGACCCGCTATTTCTTCACCTGTAAAATGGGCGCGGTCATGACACCCATTCTGCCTAATGCACAGGATGGTTTTATTTACTTTGTTTCATTTTAAAGAGAAATATGTGAATGTAATAAAGCAACGGACAGATGACAGACAGAACCCGACCCAAAGAGCAGCATCCCCAAATAGATCATTCTTTAAATAAAACATCAACCATTCACTGTAGATCCTAGTAAGTATACAAATTACCCACAACTGCCGTTCTTCAAAGAACCTGCACGTGTGATCGTCTGTTTCCTCCGAAAGGACTATGTTCTGCCCCCCGGTCACAAAAGCAAACATTTTGAGGCAGAGGTTGGGCTGATGCCTTGCAGTCAATCTGTCTGCGAACCCCACCTTTCCTTCTCAGACTGGGTCCAGTTCACCCAGGCCACTCTCCTGACCACAGTCATCCACCTTGGACAAACTCTGGGGGCCCGCATTGGCAGGGCAACGTCAGCAAGGTATGGATGTAAGACATCTCTACCAATTAGCTGCCACTTAACTTCTGCCCGGGCACTTGATTTCTCCAAGCTGCCATTCTATAAAATTAGAATTGGTGCAGTGTCCTGCCTACTACCAAGGTTGTGGGGAAAACCCTCTAAAGCCACTTTGGTGAAGATGCCCTGGAACAGCAAAGCGCTCCATGCTGGTGAGGCAGGAGTCCCCCTGCGTCTCTGCAATGTGTCTGAGTCAAACTCAGCAAGTGAACGGTCCAGGGCCTCCTGCTCTATTTTCTCTTCCCTCCTCCCTCTTATTTCAGAACACACCTGCTTTGACTCTAGCAACAGTGCCATCTAGCCTGTGAGAGCTTGTACTGTAGGCTAAGGGCCCTCCTGGCCTAAAAGACTTCTTTCTAAAGACAAGTGGGCGCCCACCGTGTGCAGACCCTAGTGCCAGGTGTGGTGGGAAGACAGAAGAAAGTAGATATGATCACTGCCCTGGGAGGCTCACAGTCAGATGACACAGAAAGGACACCCACACCAAAAAGCTTCAGGAAGCACTTGCCATTTGGGAGAGAGGGTTATCTGAGGAGTGAGGCTGTGGGCAACTTGAAAAAGGAATGGTGTGTGTCTTCCTCACGGCACATTGAAACTGAGCACAGGGCTGAGCTGGCTCAATAAATGGGGGTGGAAGTGAGGGTTAGGGCAGAAGCCATTCAGTGATTAGCACAGTCAGTCCCAGATGACATAAGTAAGTGACACTCATATTTCATAGATGGCATGATATAATCCAGGCTCTAGACACCGAGCCCAGCAGACTTTCCATCACACAGTGAGAACAGGTAACTAACCATTCAGACCATTCTGAACAGGTGGGAGCTTGTAAACTTACTCCTATTAGGACTGGAACAAGACGCGTTCATATTCTAAATTAGGCCAACATTAAGAGGCAGTTAGCATTCCTTTACTTTTCTCCTTCAGTGTCAATTCTTAGTTTTACTCACACCAGTGATATTTGAGATTTTGATGAGGAAAAGTGAGGATAAGTAAGATAGTAATATCACACCAAATTACCATGCATCTTAGATTGATTAGCCAGCCTGTGGCGAGGGCCAAGCGGCATGCACCCACACACAGAGGTAAGAACTCTCAGCACCTCCCTCCTCTTTTAACAATGGAGATGACAACACTTGTCCCACCTAAGTGGCAGAGGCATTGTGCAGATCAGGAGTGAATGCCTCATGAGAGCTTTGTAAGCTATAAGGCCGTAGCAGACAAAAGTAAGATCTCATCAGCTTTATGGTTATGTCAAAGGTATCAAAGGATTAGGAAGCACTTAGCTAATGTCCCCATTGTTAAGATACAAGGCTAGCTGTCTTCTGTGTTTGTTTCTTTGTCTCTGCTGTCTTGGGTCTTTGTCTCCGGGTTATGGCTCCTACTTCCAAGTCTCCAAATAGCAAACAGCTCAGCCGCAATATTCACTTGAAACCAACAAAGTGCCCTTTGGAAATGGGAGCACTGACAGTGTAGCAGGTGAGAATACTACGTAAGCAAAATCCTTCCGGAGCAGTTTTGAAAAGCGGCCAATCATCCCTGAGTTGTATTTTCATTTTTAATTAAGGTATAATTTACATAGAGCAAAATTCCCCTCACTAGTGTGCAGTTCCATGAGTTGTGATAAACATACACTGCTGTGTAGCCACAAGCACAATGAGGACAAGGAATAATTACAATTCACTCAATACCCCCCCCCAAACCCCAGGTCCCTTTGGAGTCCATCTCCCCGATCTCCAGCTCCTGGCATGACCTGCCATGTGTCCCTTTAATTTTTGCCTTTTCCAGAATGCCGTATAAGTAAACTAGAGAGTATGGAGCCTTTGGGCCTGACTTCCTTCACTCATCACATGGCAGCTGAGACTCATCCCTGTGGCATTCCCAGGAGTCTGCTCCTTTTCATTGCTGAATGGTGTTTCATTGTATGGACGTGCCATGGTCCACCTACCCATCAGCAGCAGAGAGGTGTTTGGACTGTTTCCACCTTCTTATGATTATGAATAAAGTCATTGTAAGTACTGGTGTACTGGTTTCGGTGTGAGAATAGGTTCTCATTTCACTTAGGTAACTACCAAGTCATGGGCTTGCTAAGTCATAGGGTAAGTCTAGAAACGAGACTGAGAACAGTGATAACTGTATAAGACACCTTCTGTGAAGATGAAATGAGGTAACACATGGGAATTTGTATGGGTCCGTGCCTGGCACACAGCTAGAACCCAGTATTTGCTACCTAATATCATTACCATCATTATTATGGCTTCATCTACCATGGACCTTGGCCATGACTGGAACATATCAGGTTAAGTTTCCTTGTCAAAGTAGCAAAGGAACCCCAATTCACTTTGGGCAATACTTCCTATAGCTCAGACCCAGGGACGACTCTTCCTGTTCCAGAGCTACACAACCATCCTGTGTGGCCTCATTCTGCCATTTTGGTGCCACTCTGCCCTCAGACATAGCTGCCCAACGTTCCCTCTGCTGAGTGAGTGCTCAAGAACTCTCAAAAACATCTACTTTAGAAACAGAGATCCCACCAACTTTACCATATTCTCTCTTTTTAGTTCTGTCTCCAAAAATAGTTCCTTCTCCAGGAACCCTTCATAGCCTGACCAGAGTAAGGCCAGCTTTTGAGTACATGTCCCTCCTTTCACTGAGCCTGAGCACCCCCACCCCCAACTGGTCTTGGTCCCCAGAGCCCCAGCACACACAGCCTCTTGGGCTGAGCCCAGTTCCTGCCCCTCAGCCCTGTGGACTTGCCCACGACTGATGCCCAGGGCCATCTAGAGACTCTAGAGATAAAGAAAGACTTTTAGGGACAGGGCCTCAATCGAGGAGGGAAGTCTTGGCAAAGGAGCATGAGGCAGTCACATGGCACAGCACCTAAGTCTACAGGCATGCCTGAAGCCCAGGGCTGAATGCAGTGTAATTTGTGGCTAAAATGGAAAACATTCTTTAATCCTCCCACTGCTTGGTTTACCCAGCAGACATAGAAAAACAGACTCTGGCTCTCTGTCTCCTGTCCTGAGGTCCAGCCTGCTTACTCTGCCCTCTTGGCTCCCCACACAGCTTGCTGCTTCACGTTCTCTTGTTTCTCAGCCTGCTGCCTTGGCCTTCCTGGGTTCCAATGCTGGGCTGAGATCTTCTCTCTCCCTGACCCTGGTCCCCACCGTTCCACTGTGTGCTCTGCCCAGATTCAGAATGGAGACAGCCCCTCCCTACTCACTCTCTCAAGGGAACACTCTTCTACACTGACCCCCTGGCAGGCCTCCTTGCCTGTAAAAGGAGGGAGTCTGGGCTGAAGCCATTAGCCCCTCCACTAGTACTATATGTGAGGCCTTAAGATATAACTCCAGCTATAACATCACACAAAGGCCTTAAGCCGAATGACCATGGACTTAGAATATGTCTAAACCCTGTGCCAGACTCCAAGGCTGACCTGATCCGGGGTCTGGCTCCTCTCGAACTTCATTTCTTACCATTCAATCCCTTGCTTACTCCATTTCAGCCCCTTGGTTTCCTTCTTGCTCACTGAACACCCCAGCTGGTTTCTACCCCAAGACTTTTGTCAGACTCCTCGCTGACCTCTTTACCCAGCTAGGCCCTCTGCTCACACTCCTGTTCTCAGTCCTAGCACCCCTCCCACCATGAGGTCTGTCCCAACGCTCCAGTCCATCCCCTGGCCCTTTCCATTCTCGATCACATCTCTTCACTATCTGAAGTTATCTTGCTTGTTTATCTCCTCTTTGTCTCCCTCAGGAAAACAGAAGCTCCACGAGGACAGGCAGCTTCTGTGTCTAGTTCTGCACGGGATCTCCAGAGCTGTGGTCAGCCTGGCCCATGGAGTTCACGTGCAAGTAGGACTCAGTGGGTGAATATCAGCTTGCAAACAACAGCCTAGCTCATTCTGGTAGCACTCTGTGCTCGCAAGGTTGGGACCAAGTATTTAATCTTGGAGTGCGACAAATTTAGTGCCACATTAAGAGGAGCCCACAAAACAATGCTGTGCCACTGCCTCGAGTTACACACCAGTGCCAAGACCTAAGGGGGAAATGCAAATGGTTCATGGTGACCTTTCAACATTTAAAAAAAACAGTCAAGCACATGTCCCACGGGCACGCGCCATTGAGGACAGCTTTTCTCACGCTAAACAATACAGGGAAGAGTTTTAGCCTGTGACTGATAACCAGAGGTGTTCTGACCCATCTTCCT